CTTGCTCAGGTGTAAAACAGATATGAGAGACCACTTTGCAAGATGGAGTGAAAAGCTCTTGAATACAGCGGCAAGAGGGCTCAGCAGTCAGCAGAGACATGGCCCACCAGCTGTGGCGTCAGAAGCGTCCCATGACCCAGGCTCATCAACACTGCCACTCAGGCCTGACCGAAGGACCAGAGGAACGTAGCACAGTAGCAGGCACTGGGCCTAGACACCAAGGACCTTTCACAAAAGGGAACTACACACTCTTGACCAAGCAGCCCTGGCAGCAACACAGATAAGCACTCAGCTAAGTGAAGGGCTGTCGGTTCAAACCTACCCAGAGGCTTTGCAGTCGAAAAGATTGCCACATTCTCCTGCTGGTGGTTTCTAACCACTGACCTTTTTGTTAGGAGCCGGACATTTAACCACTGAACCACCAATGCTCCTCCTGCAAGGAGAATTAACTCTATGTGGTCAGCACTCTTCTGTCACATCTGCCTAAAGAGTATGTCTTGAGAGAGTGCAGGTAGAGTGCTCCCTGGAAGCAAAGACGATGAAGCTTCTTTGCCTCACACACTCTGGCCATGCCATGTTAGGAGGGGCTACTCCTTGAAGGGACATGACGCTTGGAAAGATGGAGGGCCGGTGAAGGAGAGGAAGACCCTAGACCACATGGACTGACGCAGTGACTGCCACAGTGGGCTCTAGCGTGTCAGGAAGTGTGAGAACGGCACACGATAGGACAAGGTTCAGATCTGTTCACAGGGTCGCTATGGGTCGTATGCAACTTGATGGCACCTAATATCATCATCAACTATCTATCACATGAGGTCACTACAAACGGAACCTAGTGCCAATTCATTCCTAACTAATCACTCTGTGCCTGGACTGCTGCTGGGTGAACCATGACCTGTGAACCACGCAGGTCCAGTCAGAGCTATTCAGACACTACTGACACAGGCTTTCCCTCCAGCCCAGCGGTTCCTGCTGGAGACAGAGGCAGCTGAGACGATGTCTGAGTTTCTCTGCAGAAAGGGGGTCCAGTAGCCTGTTCATGGGTAACTGTGGGAATTCAAGTCCTCTGTCCCTAGAGCCCTCTGCACATAGCTTGGTGCCTGAGGGACATTCATCAACTAGTGCTGCCATTACAAATGCCCCTTGGGCTTCTGAGGTCCCAACTCTTCTCACTATCTCTTAGTTGTTGGAATGGATGGAAAACCTCATAAGCAGTTCCTTACTTCACCTCTACCTAGCATATGAACTTCCGAGTTGTAAAACAGCCCAGTGGTAGATGGAATTTGCTCCAGGACTTAAGAAGCATAAATGACATAGCTGAGCCTCTACATCTTGTGGTTCCTAACCTGTACACTATAATAGACAAAGTGCTAGTCTATAGGCCTTTTATTGTAAGAACCACCTTCCCTCTGTAACTTGATTTGTGCCACTGCTAGAACCTCTACTCGGAATATTATTGCTTGTTAATGTTAGTTAAATTTGTGTCTTCTAGGTTGCAACACCTCCATGATACATCTTCAAGGATATGAACATGTACGGCTAAGCACAATTAATAACAGTGCATCTAAATTCCAAAATCAGTCTCCATAATGGTCTGTGTTTCCTACTGCCAAAGGGGCCCTTTAGAGTAGTGAGAGAAGATCGTCACCCTGAAACCCACAACGTCCCTTTTCAGCAGAAAGTAGCTAAGAGAATACGCCATCCCCTCTTCCTTATGAATCAGGGTGAAGTCTCTCTCAGGGAGGAGTGATAGGGAATGGCAAAGGGCACACTGACAAAGGAGATTAATCAGAACTGGCTTTGACAAGCACTGTGGCAATTGGACAATTAAAAGAGACATTGGGGGGGGGGGGGGGGGAAGAAGAACAAACTGGGGAGGAGAGTAGAGAAAACAGTGCAACAATGAATGAATGAGAACCCAAAATCTCTGTAAATGTTCATTAAAACTAAAAAATCTAATAATAATTTTAAAAAACAACAAATGCCCCTTGGGCTGCAAATGCAAACCAAGCATACCTGATGTCTAATGTCTGATATGAGCGAAACATCGTAAGTCACCAAACAACTTCACACGTGTGTGGAGGTGCCAAGTGTGTTCAAAGGGGGAGGACAGGGATCTGGGGGGTATTGATAGGGCATCTGACTTAAGTCTGGGAAGGAGGAAGACAACTAAGGCTGAGACCTGGCAGCTGAGCAGGAGTTACGTGGGGGTAGCTGGAGAGAACCTGGGTCCATGGAGGAACAGCAGAGAGGCTCAGAATGACAAGCAATGGATGGAGGCAGAGAATCGGAAGGACGATGCTACAGGCAAGGCAAAAGCCAGACTGTGCAAGTCTCACAGGCTGTGTGGTAAGGAGCCTGGGCTTTCTCCTAAATGTGCTAGGGCGCTGTGGAGGAATTCTGAGCAGAGAGAGACAAAGTCAGCTTTGGGCTTTACAGAGTACTCTCTCCATTCAAACGAGGACATGACAAGGAGGATGGGGCGGCGAGGTACCCTTGTAGGAGTACACAGGGATGTCAATCCCAAGCTCCCTCCCCAGACACCACTAACAGAACTGAACACAGAAAGCAAGTGGCATGTGAAGCTGGGGTCACAGGATGAGTAGATATTAAACAGGTCAGGGGGACAGCATGACAGGCACAAAGCCCTGGCGTGACAGGGATGGAATAAAGGCAGGTGGCACTTGCCAAGGACAAAGCTTCAAGGCCAGCAGAGGGTTGACCACAAGCCTTTCAAGCCACAGGGGAGAGTGTGGACTTCTCTAAAACAGCTGAAGCCACAGGATTCTAACAGGAGAGTCTGGTCTGGTTTTGCCGAGTGACTATCCTGGCATTCCTACTGCATGCCAAGTCAAAACTCAGGAATGGCTGAGCGTTCCTAGGCTCTGGAGCAAGAAGCAGAGAGATGATGTATGAGGTGGCCTGTGTGACATCAACTCAGAGTGTCAACCCTTCCTCCCGTCCAGTGACACCAAGCGCCATATACTACACGATGAACTGATCCCTTCAAAGTGTTCACAATGACTAGCAAAAACCACAAGCTGCTGCCTTTGGGTCGCTTCTGAGTCACAGCAAGCTTCCATCAGGGTTTCTCAACTTCTGAGTATCTGAGAGGAGACTGCCCATCTTTCTCCCAAGGAGCACCTGGCGGACCTGAACCACTGAACTTTTGGATGGCAGCCTGATACGTTACACATTACGCCTCCAGAGGTCCCGCAACAATGATTACACTTGAGAACTAATTAGTGAACAGTCTCTTGAGGAAACAGGGTTCCTTCTCGCACCTCCTTACTCTCCTGTTAGAAAGAATTACTCACAATCTTCTCATAGTACTCCCGGCGCCGCTCGGCCCGCTTCTTGTAATCCACCATCATGCCCCGAAGCTTCCGCTCATGCTTTCGAGCCTCGTGCCACATTGTGGCAAGGCCAAGCCCGAGGCCTCAACCTGCAGGAGGAGGGGACAGGCCAGAGGTGTCAGCTGGGCTGCTGACAGAACAGGGACAGGATCAAAGTCACCTAACAAGTCAGTCCCAACAGCTGACCGGGGGACATCACGCCTCTCCATTTCAGGGAGGGGACGAGAGGCTGGGAAAGCACGGGCCAGAGCCACTTGGAAGGCTGAAGGCAGTGGCGAGATCGTTGCCCCGACAACACTGATCCAATTATCTGGGCCACCTGAAAAGCCTTCAGGGGGTTCTGGGCACACGGGAGGGCACCCTGGCAAAGGCGCGTTCTGGTTCCAAGGCACTGGAGTCAGGGATGAAAGGTCTGGGGAGAAGTCAGATGAGTTTGGCCCAGAAACCTGAACCGCAGGGGCTAAAGCACAGAAGAGGGGGACTGCAAGTCTCCCCAGCCCCGCGAGCAGGCATGCGTGGGCTGCGGGAGTATGAAGGCGAAGGCAAGTGGGAGAGGCGGCAATTTTATGGAAACAGATCAATGGTAAGGGGCTGGGCAGCAGACAAGGTGAACGGTGTTGAAAGGGAGAAGACGGGAGTGGGTTTAGAGAAGTCTGCGCAGAGAGACCTAAAAAGGAACGCAAGCTGCAGGCGTCTCCAGGTAAAACGGGGAAGCGCCAGGAGGAGCAGGCCGACGGGAGGGGACGGAGGGAGCCTGGGGAGCAGGGCTTGCAAACAGGGGCGGAACCCGGGGGTAGGGACCCGACAGCGGGCCCGATCGCGGCCGCGGGGTCCCGAGCGGGTTCTTTTCGCAGGGGGCGGGGCCGGGGGCAGAGTCGGGGGTCGAGGGCTGGGCCGGACGCCGCGAGTTCCTATTCCAGACCCGGGCAGGGGCGCGGCCTGCGGCCCGTCAGGCCAGAGCCGTACGAGGCAGGACGTCCCCGGGCCCGGGGCCCAGTGGAGGCGCGCGGCGGTCCGGGGAGAGGCCGCAGCAAGGGCGGAGTCGGGCTGACGTAGCCCCGGAAAGCCCAAGGGCCGGGGTCGGCCGCCTTCACTCACCGGCTCGTCTCTACCTCCCACCTCAGCTAGCGCGCGCGGCCCGCACCGGAAGCGGAATTGGTAGGCCGCGCGGAGAGGGGGAGGGACGGAACGTGTCGACGCGCGCACGCCGACGCAGGGGGCGGGGTCTGAGGGGGCGGGGCCTTTCCTGGGTGAATGGACCAGACACCCGCTGAGCGAGGCTCAGAAACTCGTGTTTATTAAGGAAGACTTGGAACAAACAATTTACACACACACGCTCTACCGTCGTCCCCGCTTTCAAGCTCGTGGCAGGTGAAGCAAGGATCTGCCTCTTCCTTCCAACCCGGTTGGAGGAAGTGCTGTCATGTGAGGCCAGCGGGACAGGGGGCCGGGGTCCCCTTTCCAGATTCGCCGTTTTCTTTTGTAGAAGGGCTCAAGGAGACCCTTCCCCCCCATGATCCTTGCCAGCGCTGAAGATGTCCAATTCATGTGGATTCATCAGAGATGGGCTGATCGGCTCAGGCTGGAAATGCAGCCCACTACCCTCCCCGCCCTGTGTGTCTCATCCGCCCGCGCCCCCAGCGGCTACGTGGCCTCTGGTCCCGGGGACAGGAGGCCGCCCCCGAAGGCCGCCTCGCGGTACTGGTTTGGGAACATGTTGCTGCCTACGAGGCTGGCGGTGCCCCCATCCCCCGGGCCTGAGGCCTGGTACGAGTCCAGCGTCAGCAGCTCCGAACCGGAGGGGTCCCCGATTGCAGCCTCCGCGCCCACATTGCCTGGGACAGCACTGGCGAGGGGCGGAGGCGCTGGGGGCAGCAGGTCCATCATGGTGAAGAGCGGGGGCACCGTGGAGTCGTAGGCAAAGCTGCTGTCCAGGAGTTCCTGCCCGCCCGGGGGCTCTAGGCCGGGCAAGGACACGGAGCCGGTGAAGAAGTCTGGGTCTGGCAGCAGGGCTGACGGTGGGAGGAAGGGACCTGCAGGCAGAGGAGCGAGAGGCACATCGGGTCAGCCCTAACTCTTACTGCGTGCTCCCGGTACTAAATGCTCCAGTAATTAGTGCAGCCTCCTTTAATTACCACCTCTCATCTATCAGTTTGTCTGCTGTGGCAAGCGCCTAGAGCCAGGCACCCTGGGATAGCTGCAGCACAGCTGTTAGAGCCGTGAACCGGTGGAAGCCACATACATCCGGGTTCTTGGAATTTGGTAAGTTTAAGGAAAGCAGCAAACAGACCAGTAGGTGATTGGGATCAAAGTTGGCTGGCTCTGATGACCATCCCATTCATCCACTCTTTGCTACTCATTTTGCATAATCACTAGTCTATAAAGATGTCCAGGTTCAAGGCCCTGCTTTACTTTAACTGTGTGACCTCAGGCAAGACGCTCAGCCTCTCTGGGCCCAAGTTTCAGCATCTATAAAATGCAGGTGAAGACAAGATAATTGTGCAGATTAAATGTACTGAGGTATAACAGAAGTCAATTAGTTAAATGCACTCTGGGTCAGTGTGGCTCCCTTTAATTACCATGGTCATGGTGCCCCCGGGTGTGTGACAGTAGGGTTTTGAGCTTGGTAGAGTTGTCATTAAATTGTGATTTGATTGGAAGATTGCAAAGCAAACCTACTTTCTTTTTTTTTTTTTTAGCAAACCTACTTTCCATTCAACTGTACATACACATTCTGTTTTACAGCATTAGCTCGAATACAGTGTAACAATATTCTTCCTGCTTCCTCCCTGTGATTCTTATTTCTATTAATCCTTTTAGCCTAGCTTTCAGAGCTTTATCCTTGGGGAAAGGCTGCCGTTTTGATCTTTGTTCTAAGGAGAACCTCTGGTGGTTTTATTTTCACTTTATCAACCACTGCTGTCAAATCAATCCCTATTCACAGTGACCCACCCTTGGGGTTCTGAGACTGTAAATTTCTATACCTAGTTATTATCATATGAGCAAGAGCCTATGGTGATGAAAGAAGAAGTTCAGGCTGCTTTGAAGGAAATGGCATAAGATAAGGCTCCAGGAATAGATGGTATACCAATTGACATATTTCAGTTAACAGATGCTGCCCTGGACGTGCTCACCAAGTTGTGCCAAGAAATCTGGAGAACGACCACTTGGTCAACTGACTGGAAGAGATCTATATTTGTTCTTATCCCAAAGAAAGGTGACCCAACAGAATGTGGAAACTACAGAACAATCTCACTGATTTCACATGCAAGAAAGATTTTACTGAAGATTATCCAAAAAATGACTGAAACAGCACATCAACAGAGAACTACCAGAAGTCCAGGCTGGGTTTAGACGGGGTCGTGGTACTAGAGATATTGTAGCTGATGTTAGATGGATCTTGGCTGAAAGCAGGAAATACCAGAGGAATGTCTATCTCTGTTTCATTGACTATGCAAAGGCATTTGACTGTGTAGATCATAACAAACTATGGCTGACTCTGAGAAGAATGGGAATACCAGAACACTTGATTGTTCTAATGCGAAACTTATACTTGGACCAGGAGGCAGTCGTCAGAACAGAGCAAGGGAACACTGCATGGTTCAAAATTGGGAAGGGCGTACGCCAGGGATACATCCTATCTCCATACCTTTTCAACCTATATGCAGAACAGATTATCCGGGAGGCTGGGCTGTATGAGGAGAAATGTGGGGTCAAGATTGGTGGACGATTTATCAACAACCTGCGTTATGCGGATGACACAACCCTGCTTGCTGAAACTGAAGAGGACCTGAAGCGCCTGCTGCAGAGTGTCAAAGACTGCAGCCTACAATATGGATTGAGGCTCAATGTCAAGACGACAAAGATTCTCACCACTGGACCAATAGGCAGCATCAGGATGGATGGTGAAGAGATTGAGATTGTACACAGCTTTAGTTTGCTTGGCTCCATAGTCAACAGTCTTGGCACCAGCAGCCAGGAAATTAAAAGGCACACTGCCATGGGAAAGTCTGCTGTTAGGGACCTCTCCAAAGTACTGAAGAGCAATGGTGTCTCTCTGGAGACTAAGGTGCGTCTGATACAGGCTATGGTCTTCACAATCACTTGTTATGCATCAGAGAATTGGACAATGACCAAGGAGGATAGAAGGAGAACTGATGCCTTTGATCTGTGGTGCTGGAGAAGAGTATTGAGAATACCATGGACTGGTAGGAAAACAAACAGATTTGTCCTGGAAAGGGTTAAACCGGGTGGCTCCTTGGAGGCAAGGATTCTGAGGCTCCGTCTAACATACTTTGGACATGTTGTGAGGAGACACCAGTCCTTGGAGAGGGACATCATGCTTGGGAGGGTGGAGGGACAGCGCAGGAGAGGAAGGCCCTCTATGAGGTGGATTGATTCAGTGACTGGGATAATTGGGATGGGAGTGTCAGAGACAGTGCGATTGGCACAGGACAGAGCGGAGTTTAGGGCTGTTGTACATAGGGTCGCTATGAGTCGCAGGCGACTCGACGACACATAACAACAACAACAGTTATTATCAAGACTGAATATTGAATCACAGAGGTAAGTTTCCTTCTAGGTTTAAAGGGTGACTAAGGGCCATAATCCGTGGAGTCCACCTATTGCCTGTACCTGTAAATCTGGCCATTTTTCTGTTTTTGGGTTTTGTTCCAAATTTTCCCACCCACTCCATTCAAGGCTGCCTGCTGTGACCCGTTTTAGATTGGTCAGCATTAAGAGCTGGCCTTCACAGGGATTTCAAAGGTTGATTTTTAGAAAGGAGCTCTGGGGGGCCAGTGTGTAGGGAACTGCACGTCTGGCCTGTCTCTCCGGAGGTTCAAATCCATCAGCAGCTCCGAAGGAGAAAGATTAGCACTCTCCCGTGTAATTTTCAACCTCGGAAATTTATGGAAGGTCAGCTATGAGTCTGTTCCGAATCCATGGCAATGAGTTTGAGATTTTTGGAAATTAGATTGCCAGGCCTTTCTCTCACAGCACCTACCTTGCACTAGGTGGACTGAAACCTCCAACCTTTAGATTACTAGCCCAGTGCTTTAACATTGCATTACCCACCCAGGGTTCCTGTCCCATTAACAACAACAAAGAATCAAACCCACTGCCAGTTCCAAGTCAGTGCTCCTCCATCAGATTTCTGAGGCTGTAAATCTTTACAGAAGAAGAAAGCTGCCCATTTTTTTTTCCCTCTGAGCAGCTGGTGGTTTCAAACTGCCTACTTTCTGGCTGGTGTCGTGCTGTTAATGTGCCGTCGAGTCGCCTATGATTCATAGCAACCCTATGTACAGTGACTTTGAACCCTGCCCTGAGCCAATCTCACTAATTCTGACACACCAACCCCCACTGCCCCAGTATCAGCTGATCTTATTGGGGTCATCCTCTCCTGTGCTGTCCATCTACCCTTCCAAACATGATGTCCTTCTCCAAGGACTGGTCCTTCCTGGCCACATGCCCAAAGTATATAAGATGAAGTTTCAAAATCCTAGCCTCCAAAGAGAAACTTTTTGGCTAGCAGCTCTATATATTACATACTTAGCCACCAGGGTTTCTTACCTGTTATATTCTAACTACAAAAACAAATAAAAGGCCACTGAGGTAGGTCTATGATAGGCTTTTTAGAGGAGAACCCCTAACACTCAAGTGGAAGATTTTGGTTAAAGAGACACAGCAAGAAAATGGTTCAGCTGAGACTGAAGCCCCTAGAATATGTCTAGAACCCTCAAATTATGGACTGAATTGTGTCTCCCCAAAATTATGTGTTAAAAAGGTTATCAATTTAAAGACTAAGGTACACCTGATCCAAGCAACAATATTTCATTTGCTTCCTATATATCTTATAGTTAACAAGGAATAAAGATGACCACATCAGAATCTGAATTGTGGTACTGACCAAGAATGTTAACTATCTCATGGACAGCCAAAAGAACAAACATATCTGTCTCAGAAAAAGTACAATCCTTGGAGGCAAGGATGGTGAGCTTTTGCCTCACATGCTCTGGACATGTTATCAGGGGGTCCAGTCCTTGGAAAAAGACCTCATGCCCAGCAAGGTAGAGGGGTCAGGGAAAGAGAGGAAGACCCTTAACGAGAGGGAGTGACACAGTGACCCTAACAATAAGCATTGTTAAGGGCCTGAGGATGGTACATTTAGAGGGAAAGGTTTCTATCTGTTGCTCATGACTCAATGGAACCTAACAGCAAAGTACTTGCTTCAGTCCATACCTGTGGATGTAATCCCATTTGAAACTAAAGTTTGTTGCGTTAATAAGGCTGCCTACTTTTTACAAAAATCCTAGAGAAGCAAGAGTGAATGAAAGAAAGAGATGGCACAGGAGAACTCCAAGAAAGGCCGAGAAGAACGCTACAGAAGCTGAGGCAGCACACAGAGAAGGCCTGCTTCCTGAAACCAACTCCTGGATCCAGGCTTCTAGGCTCCCAAACCAAAGCCTTGTCACCACTGGGTCAATTCCTACACACAGTATCCTTGTAAGACACAGAGAAATCCCAGCAACAACAGCACAGTTCAACAAGACAGCAAACCACAAATACTGGCGAGGATGTGGAGAAACTGGAACCCTCATATACCGCTGGTGGGAATGTGAAATGGTGCAACCACTGTGGAAAGCAGTTTGGAGCTTCCTCAGGAAGTTAGGAATGGAAACAATATTTTATCTAGCAATCCTACTGCTAGATACACACACACCCCATGTTCACTGTTGCATTATTTACAGTATCAAAAAGGTGGAAACAATCTAAGTATCCGTCAGTGAGTGGCTAAAGAAACTATGTACAGTTGCACAATGGAGTACGATGCAACACTGAAAAACAAATACACAAAACTCTGAAGAGTGTGGATGCATCTAAAGGACATTATGGTAAATAAAATGTCAGTCACAAAAGGATTATTATGGTATAAAATCACAATGCTAAAAAGCTAAGGAAAGGTATATGCACAGATAGCATCATTCTTAGATGGCTAACAGAGATGAGAAGGGAGTGAAAATTAGTTAGGCAAAGGGAAAGGCAATATACAATAAGGGAGTGATCAGACATTGTTGCATACCATTGAGTCAGAAGCAACTCACAGCTGATCCTCCAGTGGGTTTTGAGAGGCAGTAAATTATGTGGGAGGAGACTGACCATCCTCCCATGGGGCAGCTGGTGGATTCAAACCGTGTACCTCTGGGATTGCAGCACAGCTAACACTAGTCCACCAGAGCTCCCTCACTTAATGATCAGACATTATAATTAATTGTTAAGTTAAGTGCCATCAAGTCACCTGTGACTCATAGCAGACCTGTGAAAAACAGCCCTAAACCCTGCTCTGTCCTGTGCCAATCTTACTGTCTCTGACACACCTACCCCCATTACAATGCCAATTACTGAATCACTCCATCTCATCAAGGGTCTTCCTCTCTTGCGTTGTCCCTCCACCCTCCCAAGGCTGACGTCCCTCTCCAAGGATTGGTCCCACCTTGCAACATGTCCAGAGTATGTTGGACGAAGCTTCAGGACCCTTCCCTCCAAGGAGTAGCCTGGTCTCACCCTCTCCAGGACAAACCTGTTTGTTCTCCTGGCAGTTCATAATATATCCAATAGTGTTCTCCAGCACAACAGCTCAAAGGCATTGATTCTCCTTCTATCATCCATAGTCATTTTCCAGCTCTATGATGCATAGCAAGTAATTTCAAAAACTATGGCCTAGATCACCTTAGTCTCCAGACTGACTGTTGTACCAACTTTTGCTGTCAGAGATTGATCAAACATGCAATCAAGATGCATTAATAATAATAATAGGTGCCTGGAATGCAAAAGTTGGGAACAGAGAAGGATCAGTAATTGGAAAACATGGACTTTGTGACAAAAATGAAGCTGGAGATAGAATGATAGAATTTTGCACAATTAACGACTTATTCTTTGCAAACACAGAAACAAACACAGACAATAATAAATTACAGCAATTGTAATCAATGCTATAAAACAAAATGCCTGAATGACTGACTGAAACACCAGTATGATTCGTAAACTTCCACTCAAAAGAAAATTAGATGCACTTTAATATTCTACAGCCTGGTCTGGTGCTTGGTTTGTGTTGAAGGAATTCTATTACATCAAATAGTTTGTAGTTTAATCAGACAGGGTCTCCTGGGTAGACCTTGTGTAATTAATTTAGGAACTATTTTCATTATTAGATTTGTATATGCAAACTCTGCTCCTTGAGGGACTTGTAAATGAAAATCTCTCTTATTAGGAGTCCGTGGGAGCTCTGGTGGCTCAGTGCTAAGGAGCTGTGCTCCCAACCCACAGGCACACGGTTCGAATTCACCAGCTGCACCAGGAGAAAGATGGGCAATCTAATCCCATGTGATTTACTGCCTCTGAAAACCTGCTGGAGGCTCAGCTACGGGTCGCTTCTGGCTCAATGACACATAACAAAAACACTGGGAATCAAAGAGCACTGACTAGAAAGAAACCTAGCAAGTTAGGGGGTGGACGAAGAAGAAAGCAGAACTGCCCCAGAGGGTTTACAGACGCAGATCAGCTGTTCTCTTCTCCAGCAGAGAAGCTCTTGACCTTTCACTACCATTGAGTGGGAACTCACTCACACCTGGCCTCCCAGCGGGTTCCTGAAGCTGTAAATCATACAAGAGAGACTGCTCATCTTTCTCCCTTGGTATATTTGAACCACCAGAGACAGAGTCCTTGGGTTTGCAGTGTAACACCCTGCGGACTGTGCCACCTCAGCCTCAGTGGAGCACTGTGTTAAGAGCCGACACCTTAAACCACCACGCTTCCAGGCTTCCTTTACAGCCTCCCAAACTGTGAGAAAATACATTTCTGTTGGCTAAAACCACCCACTATGAGATTTCTGTTACACAGCCCCAGGGATCAAACCCATCTTGTTCTTTCCACTTTATGTTGCTGGCTACGTGGGAAGCCACTGGCCTCGAGGGAGTTCTTGGGAGAGCCTTAAAGGGCCAAAGGGCTGGGACTTGCCCTCAGCCCGTACCTGGGGGCTGTTGCAGAGCTGGGACCCACCTGAGCCGTGGCAGGGCAGGAACTGGTCCAGGAAGGCGGGCTTTTTCTTCCGCCGCTTGCTCTCAATGCTGTGAGGGTCTGAGGAAAGGCAGAGATGAGGACCTCTCCTCCCTGACAGCCCTCCCTCCCGGTCCAAACTGGAGCACAGCATGGGTAGGGAGACTGGTTATCTCCTCTAGGGGCTGGAGATGGGTGTGGAAAGGTGGGGGGGGGGCAGAGGGTCTGTACCAGAGCTGTTCAGTTCCCCAAGGACATCGGGCATGCCTCGTTTCCGCTTCTTGTCTACGCCGTAGCTGTCTGTGCCGGAGACACACAGAGTAATCCATCAGTGTTAATACATACACCTTCACTTGGTGACTTAGCTTATAATCTGGAATCTTGTATTTACAAAAAGGTTTGTTTTTTTGTTTTAAAAAAACCCAACCTATTCACTAGTTCATATATTAACAACAGACACAGTTATCTGACTCTGGGCACCAAAACAGTGTGTGAAGGCAAATGCAATATCCAATAAAGGAACGATCAGCACAATATTACCAAAGAAAGGGAAGACACAGAGCTGTAGAAGGAGGAACAGAAATGAAAATCACAGGGAGCTCTGGTGGCCTAGTGTCAAGAAGCTGCACTGAAATCCCAGAGGTGTGTGGTTCAAATCCACCAGGTGCTTGGGGAAAGTGCAATTACATTGTGAATTTAGAAGTGAATGTTACAGAACAAAATCTGTATGAATGGCTGAATGAAAATTAATCTGTAAACTTCCACTCATATCACAATAAAAAATAAGTTAATCAACAAACACATATAAAACATAATGGATATGAATGAGTATATAAAATACAATGTACATGCATAGGGGGAGAAAATCAACAAGCATCTCCACAACATTTAGTCTTGCAATGAATGAAGGCTGAGGTGTGAGGAAAGAGTAGTGCCAGCTGTGACAGTTAAGGTTATACATCAGCCTAGGTGGGTCTTGACTCTTGTGCAGTTCAGCAGTTATATGATGATGAAATCTGGCTGTTATGTGATGATGTAATCTGGCAGTTATGCGATGATGTAATCTGGCAGTTATGCGATGATGTAATCTGGCAGTTATGTGATGATGTAATCTGGCAGTTATGTGATGATGTAATCTGGCAGTTATGTGATGATGTAATCTGGCAGTTATGTGATGATGTAATCTGGCAGTTATCGGATGATGTAATCTGGCAGTTATCTGATGATGTAATCTGGCAGTTATGTGATGATGTAATCTGGCAGTTATGCGATGACATAGTCATCCTCCATTTTTTGCACAATGCCTAGTCTCACAGAATGACCTGGTCTTCCAGAACCTAATCACGCCACTGAGGGGTTGTTTTGTTGTTTGCCACTGAGTCGAAACAGACCCATAGCTGACCCTCCAGCAGGTTTTCAAGGGCTGTAAATTGCATGGGAGGAGACTGCCTATCCTCCCACAGAGCAGCTGGTGGATTCAAACTGTGTGCCTTTGGGATTGTAGAGCAGGTTTTTACCACTAGGACACCAGAGCTAAGTGAGGAACAGGTAGCATTCATTCTAAGAGTCCGTTTAGTAAATTCTTGACAGCTACCGCAGTTCTTGGCTAACCCAGTGCAAACAGTGTTCACATCTTACTCAGAATAAAACTCAGATTTGCCCCCAGTACCTGCTACTGTTCCCTGCCCTGTGGTCATTCAGACTCAGGGCAAGCCCACGCGTGCAGGGTGGAACTGCTCCATGGGGTTTCCAAGGCTGTGACCATTTGGAAGCAGATCACCAGGGCTGTGCCTCTGAGTGGGTTCAAACCACTAACCTTTCAGCTAGTAGTTGAGCCTTTAACCATGTGTGTCATGCAGGGACTCCCTCCCAGACTCACTATGAAGTCCTAAAGAATTCTTGCCTCCTTCCACCTTATCGCTCTGATTTCATTTCCTACATACTTCATTGTCTCCATTCTACTTATAATGGGTCTTGGTAGTTTCTGGAACACTCCAGACACAATCTTGGCCTCAGGGCCTTTGCATTTGCTGTTCCCACAGCTTAAAACTTGCTTCAGTTGACAGCACTTTCCTGGAGAACCAGTTAATCATTGTTGCAGCCTCAGCTCAGCTAGGAAGCCCTCCCAACTAACCCAAAGGCAAGTGGTTTGAATCCACCAGCAGCTCTGCGGGAGAAAGATGGGCAATCTCCTCCCCTGTGATTTACAGCCTCTGAAAACCCACAAGAAGGTCAGCTATGCGTTGGTTCCAACTCGAGGGCAGTGAATGGATATATGGAATCAAAATTAACAATAGCAACTGGAAAGACACATCAGACACTTTGGAGAGCAGGGACTTGGGGGACTGGGAAAGGAACAACCCAGAAAAGGAGGGTGAGAATGGCTGCACAGATGAAGAATGCCATCAGTGTCAATGAATGGAACATGCAGACACTGCTGGGCTGGTGCCTGCTTTGCTGTGTGTTTTCTCAACAACTAAAAGAAGAAAGTTGTTTGGTTTCCTAATAGCTAAACAAGTGAAAAGGTTTTATTAAGGTAATAAGACAGAGGCATAGCTAGTGAAAAGTTGCCCCCACAAAAGAGTTAAAGTGAGAAAGGAGAGAAAAGGCTAAAGGACCTTGGAAGGACATGTGTGAACCCAAACCTTACAGCATGCTGTCAGGAGAAAAGGAGGAAAAAAGAGAAAGTATTTTATTTCCATTTTGTACAGGAGAAACTGAGGCCTGGAGAGGCAAAGCTCACACAGCCACTAAGTGTCAAAGCCAGGATTTGAACTCCAGGCTCTTTGAGTCCTCTGATACCTCTCTGGGTCCTCTGATGTCTCTTTGGGTCTTCTGATGGCATTAATGGTTAAGCCTTGGCTTGTTAACTAACAGCTTGGTGGTTCAAACCCACCCAGGGTCTCCAGGGGGAGAGAGACCTGGCAATCAGTTCCCGTAAAACTCACAATCTTGGAAACCCTATGGGGAGGTTCTCATCTGCCCATGAGTTTGCTATGAGTCAGAATTACCCGGAGAGAATCCAACAACAACACAAAGTTCCAGCTTCAAACTTAACCCGGTTCCCTCGGAAGAAAGAGCTGGTGGTCTGCTCCCATAGAGACCAGAGACTCTATGGGCCAGTTCTCTGTAACATGTGCCCTGGAACTGCCGACCTGGCCGGGGCCTACGTCAGCTTCTGCCTCTTGCCCATTCCCACGCTGACCCACCCACACAAGGCTGAAGGGCTGGGTTTGGGTCCCTGGTGGTGTGGTTACCGTGGTCCCGAGGCAGGTAGGTGAAAGGCAGGGGCTCGCTGCAGACCCCGTCGGTGAGCCGCTGCAGGAAGACGTTGACCGTCACGGGCTCCGTGATCTCCAGGTCCTCGTAGGGTGGCGTCTTGAACACAATGGCGATCTGGCGGTGCACGTCGGCCTGGGAGAAGTCGGCCCGGCCCTCCCAGGAGGCCGTGCTGAAAATCACCGATATGTCCTCTGGGGGGAAGGTGGGTGGTCAGCTCAGCCAGGAGGGCCAGCCTACCTGACCGCCTCCCCCAGGATCAATATTCATCCTCCCAAGAATAAAAACAGGGACCTTGGGATCGTGGAGTCGGTTAACACACTCAGCTGCTAACGAACATTGGTGGTTCCACCCAGAGATGCCTCAGAAAAAAGGCCTGGTGTGCTACTTGCAAAACGTCATCTGCCATTGAACACATTTGGGCCAAACTACGTCCCTCAACCTTTACACCTCAAACAAAAACTATCCACTGGAGTCTTCTTAAAACCAAATGGTGTGCTCAAATGGAAATAAAAAGTTAAAAAACAAACAAAACAAACCAACAATATTTGAAGTAGTAAAACTGGTCCGTCTTGACTATTTGTGCTGTTCTAAGATCTATATGGGATCAAACAGGCAACAGAGATGGGAAAGGTTAGACAGGAAGCTTGGGGGGAAGTGAATTTATGTAAATGAGGAGGAACCACCCCGCAAAGGAGGATGAGGATGGCTGCACAGCTGGCAAAGTAGAATTAATGCCACAGAACTGCACACGAAGAGACAGCTGCTGAATCAGTGTCTGTTCTGGCTTAAGACAGAAACGAAATGAAACCACCCATTACCAGAGAGGAAAAATGAACAGGTAAGTAGGGTGAAGAGAAGGGCAATGGACGATATACTGATCAGACATTGTAATTACTTAGGGAGCTCTGGTGGCCTAGCAGGTAAGGAGTTGTGCTGCCAACCCAAAGGCAGGTGGTTCAAATCCACCAGCTGCTCTGAGGGAGACCAATGGGCAATCTCCTCCCACTCAAGTTACTGCCTCTGAAAACCTTCTGGAGGGTTACCACTATGGGGCGGTACTGACTGGCACATTAAAATAAGAACAACATTACAACTAGTTAGTGATAATAGTTGATTGTAATGAATGTCATAAGAATGTGTATGAATAACTGAAAAAAAATGCTTAAGCCATCAGCGGTGACAACAGCTGATGGCAGGGTGTCAACCCAAAGAAAAGGAAAGAAACTAAAGACTCCCTCCTTGTGTGTCCTCACAAGAAGAATTTTAAAAACATTTTTAAGGAAAGAAATTATCTGCAATCCCAGATGTGCACAGTTCGAATCCACCAGATGCTCTGCTGGAGGAGAAGGAGGGGCAATCTCTTCCTGTATCTGTCAGATCGATTTGATGGTCCACACACACAAAATAATAAAATTTAAAAAGAAAGAAAAAAATAAACTGTAAAAGAAATAAACTAGAAAAAAAACACACACAACCCAAACCAAAACACAAACGTGTGCAGCCAGTGCTACTGATACACGTGGGATCGTCAAAGTCAGCATCAACTTCTCGTCTGTATTTGTTAAATTTTCATTCTTCTCTCCCTCCCTTCCCATCTTGCTTTAAAAAAATTTAAAAATTCATTATCACTGTTGTTGTTGTTGTTAGGTGCTAATGAGTCAAGTACAACTCATGGCGGCCCTGTGAACAACAGATCTGAACCCTGCTCTATCCTGCACCATCCTCACACTTCCTGACACACTAGTGCTCATTGCAGTAGTCACCGTGTCAATCCACCTGGTTGAGGGTCTTCCTCTCCTTCACCGACCCTCCACCCTTCCCAGCATCATGTCCTTCTCCAAGGAACAGCCCCTCCTAGCAATGTGCCTGAAGTATGTGAGGCAAAATCTCATCATCCTTGCCTCCAAAGAGCACTCTGGCTGCACCCTCTTCAAGACATATCTGTTTGTTCTCTTGGACATCCATGGATGTCCAGGGCTTTTCTCCAACACCACAGCTCAAAAGTATCTGTTGTTCTTCTGTCATACCTATTCATTGTCCAGCTTTCTGATGCATAGCAAGTGATTAGAAAGACCATGGCCATGTGCACCCATGTTTATCGCGGCTTTGTTCACAAAAGCAAGGAGTTGGAAACAACCTAAGTGCCCATCAACAAACAAATGGATAGAGAAGCTGTGGTATATTCACACAATGGAACAATACACTGCATTGAAAAACAAGGAACTCATGAAATATTATTAAAAATGGGTGACCCTGGAGGACATTATGCTGAGTGAAGTATCTCAGTCACAAAAGGACAAATACTGCACGATGCCACTGTTGTAAAACAGGACTGACATCAGGGTTGGGGGGAGACTGAGAAAGATGGGTTCAATAATGTATACTGCATTGAAACAGATGAGAGAGAAAACTGTTTAAAAGGGATATGCGATTAAGTATTTTTATCATGACAGGAGTCCAGAGCGAAGGCTACATAGTGGAGTGGACCTGGGGGAGGGTTTGTAAAACAATGAAAGAATTTTTCTTTTACTTTTCCAAGATGGGAGTGTACTAGGGTGGAGGGGGGAGGGGAGAAAAGTGCAACAATGAATGAATGGAAATCCAAAGTCTGTAGATTTTCATTGAAATTAATAATAAATTTTTAAAAAAGAAAGAAAGACCATGGCCTAAATCAGACACACCTTAGTCCTCAAACTGAAGTCACTGCTCCTCAATAACTTGGAGAGGTCCCTAACTGCAGACTTTCCCAGTGGAATGCATCTCCTTATTTCCTGACTGCTGGTACCAAGGATGTTAAATGTGGATCCAAGTAAGATGACGTTGTTGACAGTTTCAATCTTTTCTCCATCCACCATGATGTTGCCTACTGGTCCAGTAATAAAACTCTTTGCTTTCTTGACATTGAGATGCAATCCATATGGAAGGCTGTATCCCTTGATCTTCTGCCAACAAGTGCTTCAAGTCCTCCTTACTTTCAGCAAATAAAGTTGTGTCATCTGCATAATGCAGGTTATTGATGAGTCTCCCTCTGATCCTGCTGCCACATTCCTCTTCGTGGAGTCCAGTTTCTTGGATAATTTGCTCAGCATACATTCTTTTGGCAGTCTGTAGGATGTCCAGTTCTCTTCTCCATCGTCATAGTAGCAGCTAACTATCTGTGGACCACCTCCTCTGCGCCAGTAACTGCTGGAGGTCATGTTTTAGTATTCCCCCCGCCTCATTTAACCTCCGTGAAACCCACTCCATAGGAGCCCTAGTGGTGCAATGGTTAAGTGTCCAACTGCCAAACTTATAGAAATCAGTAGTTCGAATCCACCAGTGGCTCCAAGGGAGAAAGACGTGGTTGTGTGCTCCTGAAGAAATGAAACACTTAAAAGCCAAACCAAGATTCAAATCCATCAGATGGTCTGCTGGAGAAGGAGGGGCAATCTCCTCCTGTACCAGTCAGATCCAATTTAATGGTACACACACACAAAATAATAAAATTTTTAAAAAAATTATTAAAAAAAAAGCCAAACCATTGCCTTCTAATAAGGCTGGCCTCAGGGTAGCTGCTGAGACTGTAATCCACAAACAGCAGACACTGGCCACCTTCCTCCTGTGGGGCAGTGGGTGGATCTGAGCTGCTGACGTGGCAGCTAGAAGCTTCGCAGGTTAACACGTGAGGATCCCACCAGGGCTCCTTCCCACGATGACGACAGTCTTGGGAGCCCAACAGAGCAACTGTAGCTCCGTCCTGCAGATCCACCATGAGATGGAACTGTTTGGCTGGCAATGATGTTTGGTTTGAGGAGGCAGATGGTTTTCATGTCCCCGGGGTCCACCTGAGGTTTGGCGAGTCAGGAGATGTGTGGGGCTCACAGTCGCCCTCATGGCTAAGACTGGTCACAGTAAAGATACCGAGCCCAAGGGACAAAGGGACCCCCAACATGAAGAAGGAAGCTAATGCCCCTCCCCAAATGGAGTTGCTACATAGCTGACCCTCCCCAGGAGAAGCACACTGGTGGATTTGAACCAGTGGAGAGGCACGGCCTTTGGGTTACGAGCACAAGTCTCTATGGGCTGTACCACCAACGCTCCCTTACTGAAGACAAAGCAGACAGTGCTGAAAGGTGTCACAGATACAACAAGAAGATCTAGGGAGCTCTGGTGGCCTAGTGGCAAGAAGCTGCACTACAATCGCAGAGGCATGCGGTTCAAATCTCTGCTGGAGAAGGAGGGGCAATCTCCTCCAGTATTAGTCAGATCCGATTTGACGGTACACACACACATACAACATTAAAAAAAGAAAATGGAAATAAAACTAGGCCTTGAAAAAAAAAAGAAAATGGAAAATTAAAGTATCACTTGATCCAGCACATACACACACACACACATGCACACAAATCTGTCACTCACCTTCCAGAGGCCAAAGACACTAAGAGAACCCAGACACCCCCAAAAGAGCATTCCCAGCCCCTCGGAGAAGCTAGCCTGACCTTGGTACTATCAGCAAGTCCCCGACAACAGGAGATGGGAGACGACCACACTCTACAGTCATAGGACATCAAGGTCAACACACATGGGCTCAAAAAGGCTGTGAAGAAGCTCTAAGACACTGACATGGTCAAGGTCAATGCCCTATCCACGGCTGGTGCAGAGAAGGCACGTGCCCCACTGGGTCCTGATGGTGAGGCTTCAGATGCTGCCAGCAGAGCTGGGTTCATCTCACCAGAGTCCAGCTGGCTGATTCCAAATATAAAGGTTTTGCATCACAAATAAAAAGAAACAAGAGGGACTGTCCAGAGGAGACCAGGTGCTAGCTGTCTAGAGACTCTCTCAGGGGAGTCACAGAGGGTTCACGTCACTTCCCAGCCACAAGCTGTCACACATGTGCGAAGCTCTGTCCGCCAGGCTAACTCAGCAGACTCGGTGCCCAGGGATTGGGATGGGGCACTTTCTGCCTGTGATGCACGCATCCGCAAAGGAGAGGAAAAAAAGCGCTAAAACATTGTCTAAAACACAAAGACAAAAAAGGCTTGGTTGAGGTTGGAAGGCTCCCCAACACCAGCTCTGTGAGTTCTCCAGATCTTGAACCCAAATCTAACCCCTGAGGTTATCTTGTAGCTAAATAGCATACTGATACAAAACAATTAGAAACATTGTTGCTCTAAACACTGTGTTCCTTTTAAAAGATCACCTCATAGAGATC